AGAATGAGGAGAATGAAGGCAATATGTTCACCATTTCAAAGAGCCAGGATGAGAGTGGGTTAACAACATGCCTGCACTGGAGAGCTAGACCAAGCACAGCAATAACACTTTCCCTAATGAGATTGATATTTCCTCAAAGTACTACCACGGTATCGTGCTTGTGCCACCTCTCGCAGATCAAAGCCTTGAAGCTTCACATCTTTAGCTCTTTGGAAACAAAGTGGGAGGAGAAGAGGGAGAAGGAAAAAATCCCCTATCTTGGTGAGGTTCTTGCAAAATAGAATTCTTTGTGAAATTTTCAGGTCTGCAAATACCTCCTCTTCAATGAACATCAGCTTGAGCCCCTCCATTTGCAGGCCATAACCCCACCTTTAAATATGACTGTGGCCATCTGTGCCTTCACTGAACAGTCCCGTTTCCTTTTAGATGGTTTGGAAGACCAGCAAATAGCTTTACTGAATTTTTTCTTGAAAACAGGAAACTGAGGAACAGTTTATATAACTGAGGAACAGTTAAAATAACCCATGGATTATTGTCATACTGTTTTGACAATCAATGTTCAATAGACTCTAACAGTTTAAAAGACTTAATTGAATGATCTCCTCATGTAATTAGCCATCAGTGACAGAATACTCAAACAGATTCTTAATGTGCCGTAACAGAAGTTTGCTCACTAGGAGAAACTATTTTGCATATTTTTCCTTTGGTGCACTAGGCACAAACGAATCACTTTTCTTTCAGGAGAAGACATATGTCAGTGTCCCAACTATGGGTCCTTCACAGGGATGAGGGCATTGCAGAAGAAAAATCCTGACTTCTGCACTTTTTCCTCCATACCTGAGCTGGTCAAGTCTTCTCCCAGAATAAATTCTGGCCCACATCCTTCGATTTTCATAGTTCTCAGTTCTCCAACACAGTAGACTGTGGGGTTTTGGTTTTTTGTTGTTGTTGTTGTTGTTGTTGTTGCTATTTTTTTCTTTTTTTGCAATGTGTTAATAAAATGCAATTGGAAGGTCTTGTGCCCAGTGGTAGCCCAGCAGCATAAGCAGCAGATTGATAAAGTCTTACTACAGATTCTTTTTTTCAGTCTTGTTTGTACTTTATTTTATTTTTTTTTAATTATCCTAAAGCTTAACACAGTCTTTTGCATGAGAGTTTTAGGAAGGATTTAGGAGCTTCATGACCAAGCTTTTATAGCCTGCTGAAACGACCAAAGGGCAAAGAGAAAGTCTCGCATCACAAAGAGAGCAAAATCTATTCTGTTTTTGAAGGATGACATTTCCTTTTAGCCTCTCATGCCACGTCCTGCAGCATTTTGACACTGCTAGAATGAGAAAGTCAAGCTGACTAAAAGCAAAATGTTAAACTTATTACTTTGTTGTTAAATGTATTGCTCTGTGCCCACTCTGCTCTCATTCTCGGCAAGACCTCAAAAGTAGACTTAACAGCGTGTTAAAGAAAAGCTTTTTTAAAAAACCCTTTCAGTCTGGCTATCCAAATATGAGACTAAAAGAACAGCATATTACCCTTTTAAATGCAATTTTAATGTCACCATTCCCTTTTGAAAGGCTGCTGTATTTATACGGCAGACATAGTGCTGTTCAAAGGGCCATCTTGTGAGTCTCCACTGAATATGTTTCTTGCCTGTGATTTTCCTGTAAATCCTATAGCATTCTGGCTGAGTTTGTACTCACTCTGTACCGCAGTTTTCTACTGCTTGAAAAGTTCAGGGCAATTCCAGTTTTCAGACACCTATGCAGTTTCCTGGTTGCATGCACAAGCTTGGAGATAGGATTTTGAGGTGTGCTTCCTGGTGCTCAAAAGAAAGTTCCCGTGTAACTATCTGTCTGAATGAGTAACCAAACCTCTGAAAGTTCAAAGTGTCGTCTCAAATTGCTCTTTTAGACCATCTGAAGCTTTGCGTGAAGGCAAAGGCGCAGGGAAAGCCCTGTTTGTAACACATGGGAGCCCTTGTTCGTAACACTCTTTGCTACCTCCAGCTGGTTTTCTTAAAGGTGGTAGGATCTCAGACAGGAATGTGCACAAAATTGATCAGTCTTGTAGTTAGGTCCATGACTATTGGAATATCTTTGAAGGATCAGACCAGGGTCTTAAATCTACGTTTAGTGCAATGTTTCAGATTGACAAAACTCTTGCCAATGGTGTTTTAAGTCCCTCAAATCCAGGCATAGCACAACTGTAGAAGTAAAACTGGTTTTGTGCTTTTACAAAGCCAGGAGCAGGCGCTGCAAGGTGTAAGACCTGGGAAGATATTGCTGTAAACCCTCCTCCCGCCCCTCTCCCACCCCACTGTCCCTGCAGGATGTCCGAGCCCATTCCCATGTGTGTAGAGTGTATGTGTTTCAACCTCTCTCATGGGTAACCAACCCACCTGAGCCTTTCACTGCCAGAGTGGGATAGGAGAGAGTCTCGATAAGGCAGAGGCCTTTCAGATTTTGAATGACCTACTTCCATACTTTCTTGGGTGGATAAACGTGATCAGTTTACAGAAAAGTTCATCAACAAGAAAGTCATGCTTTACATTCAGTTTTAGATGTAACTGCTATTGATGAACAACTAGGCAAAAGTTTAATTCTTAGAGACAAGACCTAACATCAAAGCCATTCCTAAGAATACCTTCAAGTCTTTCAGATAATATTTATTTTAAAATTCAAAACACAGTTGGAAGTGGAACCAGTTGGACGCTTCACAAATCATGTAGTCAGATATTAAAAACCTCACATAGTTAATGTCAGCAATATGTTTTAAATGTCTATCTGCAGATGTAAAATTATCTTCATTGGGCTATTTTGTTGATATGAAATTGAAGGACATTATGATAATTGCATAATCCGAATATACGAATCGGTGTGGAAAATTAAAATACAAGCCTATTAACAAGGCAGTAAAATGCACTGTTTCATCTGCAGAAATCATCCCTATATGCACAGTGCAGAGACTGATGGCTCTTATTAAATATGCACATAACATATAGGTTAGTAAGAACAACAGGGAAAGAAAATAAATGTAAACCTGATCAATCCTACACATGGTTAATATGATCCTTTCCTCATTTTCCATGAAGTTCTGGAATCACTTTGTGATCTAGATTTTGAAAGCTCAATTAAAACTAAGATAGTAGAGATAAATTATCCATGCTAAGTCATGGATAATTAGAGCATACATTTTTATTAGTTTGGAAATAAGTGGTGCTACTCTCTAAAAAAGCCTGAAGCAATACAGAAATAGTGTCTGTATTAGGGTGATACCTGCTTCATCCCCTGTTTCCAGAGGGCATGGGCCTGCAACAGGCACCTTTGACTCTAACTCCAGTAACTCTGGAATTCCTATATTACAGTGTCAAAGGGGATATTTAAATTGTAATTGCATGAGCAAATTCCTGGCTATTACTGGACAGTAATTTGAAAAAAAAAGCAGTAGATTGCCCTGGCCTGTGTCTATTACATTTTGGGTCTAGAATGAATAATAGTAGTTTAATTTATGCATACTTAAGAATTTTAGATAAGGAAACATTAAGCATCTCAAAGAAAAAGTATATTAAACTATAGATTTAACATACTATGGGATCTTCGTCTGTGTGCAGTTCATCCCACAAAAGAATATGATGGCATATGCAAGATCATACATATTTAAAATACACACACACACTGATGCACTGATGTCTGGAGGTTATTTGCAGAACCAAGGTTACATGTGTTATACTGGAGAGGAAGAAGCACCGTGTTTGGAATTGACTTCTCTGGGATTCCTTTGCTACCTTAAACAAATGATTTAACCTTGATCCAGGTTACCCTCATACTCTCTTTTGCATTTGAAAACATTCCTCTGGAGTAGCTGGCTCCTACAAAAGCTTGGGTTTTCTCCTCTTCCAATAATGTATCTGGTTTTAGTTTTTTTAGCCCTGTATAATTGAGGTCACTATTAGATTATTACTAGTTAAGAACTGAACACTGCTTACCTTGTGTTGGTACCAATCTAGAAGGGAATTTGTATTTGGTAACAGAGAACCCTGTCTGTGTGCTATTGCTGTCATTTTAGAAGAACTGTAGTTTTAACCAGTTGTTTTAAAGCTGGTCAGTTCTGCAGTTTGAGAAAGCGTTGGGTAGGAAGGATTTATTCAACTTCATGAAGGTAAGTTTCACACTGCTAATATCACTTCATTTTATATATAAATAATCTATTTATATATATTTGGATGGAACAATTTTTTTTTTTGCATTGCTAGATACTTCCATTTAAAGCCTCTTTGTGGGTTTTTTTTGTGTTACATGTAATTATTCCAGCTGTAGATTTTAAAGGATGTTTCCACTTACCTGAAATGTCTTTGTTAGTGTTGTGATGGTGGGAAGAAAAAAGATTTCTGCTTTCTTTCTAAACCATTCAGCTACCTTATTCTTGTGGCAATTTCCTCCTTTCTTCAACAAACAATATTTGAAAAAGATTCTTTCCAAAGAGAGGATCGAGGACTGTGCTATATTTTAGAAATGCCTGTTAATTTAATGAGGGTAAAATAACTAAATCACAAAGAAATCTTTAAAAATGGTGTTCTTTATTCTCTGTAGTATACCCATTTTTTTGTGGCTAAGGTATATGTGATTTAAAAAAGATGATCTTTTTTCTTGTAAGGTCAGGAGGAAATTCACCTTCTGAAAAAGGGTAAGTTTTATGATATGAAGCCACCAAAATATTGCAAATGCATCTATGTAGAGTTTCAGAAACATTCATAATCTGCTTTAGTTAAGCCAAAGTTAAATTAAATTTGGTGGAAGCCAGGCTGGGCAAAAAACATGACTTTGTACAGAGTTGCATATTATACCTTAGGAGCTTATTCAAAGCTGGCAGGAATCAGCAGAGAAGCTTTCTGAGCCCACCAGTAAGAGCTCAGGTCCTTGCTTCTAAAAGCCACCATTTGCACCAAAGGTATGGTCGAACTCTGCCTTTGGTGAGAAGTGTTTAATGCCATTTCTGTCTTCCACCAGTGTCTTTCTTTCAATGCGATAATGGAGGAGCTTGGAATTTCGCTCAAGCATCAGAAGAAGTTAAAGAAAAGGTCGAGAACTAAGGGGAAATCTTCATTCACAAGTATCCTTACTTGTCACCAGAGGCGGACGCTGAGGAAAGAAACCATAGCATGAGCAAGAGAGACCCCTTTGAGGAAACATCAGGAACAAAAGAACGAAACAAAAACATTGCTGCCTACAAGTTGATTGTGGTGGGATTTCTGAAATATAGACGTTTACCTTGTTCTTCAGAAATTCTCTGTGGTTTCTTTTTTTAATCTAGAGGTACAACAGTTTAAATGCTCACATAGACTGATGTACTACTAATCATGTGGGAAGTGTCTCACTCTTTCTTTTGAGATGGATTTGTATGCTCATCTGTTTTGCATCTCTCTTCCCCTCCCCATGCATTGCTGTATGTGCTTTCTAAATAAATAAATAAACAAGAGACAGGGTTCTTTTTTCCAATAATATGGGTGTGGAACTTTTTTTTTTCCTTTCGAAGAAAAAATTGCAGTTCTGCTGAGCAGAGTTGTTTAAAAAACAGGACTCAGACAACCCAAGTAAAAATTCATGCAATTAACTCATAACAATGACAATTAACTCATACACCATACAAAAATGTCTTAAATACAAAGATATGCAACGAGTTGGTTTTACTTCCTCTTTACCACTCTTCAGGTTCTTTTCTGTGAGAAACTTGTTTTTCCTTATCTTTTCTCTATTTTATTTCTTTTAAAACATGAGTATTAGGTAATGCCATGGCTCCAGGAGCTAGATGTTCAAAAGAAAAAGCAAAATCACAAAAGTAATGATCAGTGAACAGGGGAAGGTAACACCAACATCGTCACACTGCTGTATCCTCCGGGTCCTGATACCAATAAAAAAATTCTTGACTTCAAAATGAAAATCCCTTAGAAATGAGAGCCAAGAATATTCGATTTACAACAAATCTCAACCACAAAGATAATAACATCTGACAGGAATACAGCCAGTGGTCTGGAATTGAAAGCTTTTCTTGCAGCTGCTATGGGCACTAGTAAATGTTTTAAAAGTGAAGGAGAAATTAAGCCTTTTTTGTGAAGAAACCTCTATCTGAAGAACAATGATGCATTGTAACAGCAGTTTCCCCCCCATACCTCCCCCCAAAACTGTTCCTTTATATTGCAGTGAGGTGAAGCACATTTATATTTATTGCTATGTTGTCTCTGTGATTAATTCTCTTGTTCCTGGGGCTTTTATTGGTGCCAGCTGGTTAGCTCTGAGAATGCCTGCAAGAGGAAATGGGTGAAATGTAGGCATATCCACACTTCAAGGGACAAGGGTGGGTGTAGGAGATGGGTGTGCCTTGTGCCCAGCTGCTGGGAGCTGTATCCCTGCCTTCCTATATGCTGACTTATGTATATAGACCTGGTCTGCCCAGGGCAATCCCACCACTATGACCTCTAATCCTAATGCAAGGCTGGAAAAAGGGAACCAGAGGACTGGAGCCATTGATTGCTTTTCTGCACAGCACATGGAGCTGGGCAAGCCCAAGTCAGATCAACAGCATTTGCTTCAGCTTGTCATGATGTTCGTTACCTGGGTGCTTCAGTGAAGTGTTGTCCTCGTTATATTCTCCCAGGGAACTTACTGCTTACTGTTGGTTGCTTTTGCCTTGTATCCATGGCCATTTCCTCTGAAAACAGAGAAAGTAATGTGAAAGCCTTTCAGTGGAGAAATCTCTCCTCCACCCTCACCTCACACCACTGCACCCTGCAGCCTCCTGTGACCTTTTACGCTGTGCTGCATGGCAAGGTCAATCTGCAATGACTGGTGTTGCTTGCAAAAGCCCTGCTTCATACATTTTGATAATATTATGGACTAGAAGACACCTCCATTCATTTAGCCTTTTCATAGGGGTCAAGTTTTCTAAACCTCTTGCCATTACCACGACTTTCCCCAAAGCTCTTTGTAACTACTCCATATCTTTCTCCAAACACAGTGCCCAAAACTAGATCTGCTTTTCCACCTGTGTTGATTTGGGCAGCAAAATGTCTTAAGGCCATGCTGCCGCTCACAACCTTGTGAGGACATCTCCTTGCCTGAATTGGGTAAGGTGGGTGACCCCTCCATGATACAGACAATAATAATTTCAGCCTGAGTTTTGGGCAGTGGCCATAGGGAATTGCACATCTTTGTGGTTTTGGTGGGGTTTTTTTATCGAACTGTTTCTCCAGTTTGTCAAGATCAGTTTTTTCCCAGCTGTGCTGGTTGCCTGAACCAGCTTGGTGGTACCAGCAAATTTAACAAATGTGCTCACTAAAAACCATCCATAATGAGACCCAGATGGTGGACAGACCACTGTAGAGCCCCCAGATTTTGACAGTGAAGCTCTGAGAAATAATAGGACAGTTAATAGCACTTCCAGCTACCGTACAATATATGTCATCTAACCTATTGCCCTACTTGTTTATGAAAATGTCATGCAGGACATGATTAAAGGCTTACTAAGAACCCCTTCTCTCACCCACAGGGCCTGTTAAGCTGTTAAAGAAGCAAATTCATTAGATTAACAAGACCTGGTTTTGACAGATTCATATTTACTCCTGCTCATTTCCTACCAATTACTTTAAAAATAGTTATTTCACGCAAGCGTTTGCCGGGGAACTGAAGTTAAGCTGGCCAGTCCAGAACTCCTTGGATTCTTCTTTTCCTTCCTTTGAAGATAAGAATTATTGTTGCTCTTTTCCAGCATTTCTTCTGGACTGTGTATGTCCTCCAGGATTTTGTCTCAGGCGGTTCGGAGCAGTCAGCCTCTGGGAAAGGAATGAGAAAAGTCTCTTTTACAGTGACTACAGTAGGAAGTTCTAACATCAGTGCTTGCTTTTGGGAAGTTTAGTCTGCTACATACTGCAGTGACAAGCAGGGCTGGTAAGAAATAATTAAGAAAACCAGCCCCTGGCTGTTAGAGTTCGTAGAGGATCTTACAATAAGATGCTTTCGTACTTCCAAAGGTAGTTTCATTTTATGCCATCATCAGGTTACAAACAGGCTATTCAGACCACAAGCACTGTTCTAATACCATGATTGAAAAGCAGATTATTATTTTTCAGCCTGTGTAACTCTATTGCTCTGCCATCCACTGCCTTCAGCTAAGATATTTTTAAATGAGTAAGTTCAAAGTGATGAAAGATTTATGATCAAGCCTTTTTTTTAAAAGGAACATTCTTTTGTGGCTTAAACCTTGAGGTTAATGAATTCCAAGTTCAATTTTCTAAAAATCTACTAATGTTGTCTTGAAACTAAGAGACGGTACTTTGTTTGGCTGCTTTTTGCATTTCAAGTTTCCCATCAGTTATTAGAGGTCTGCCACTTATAAAAAGGTGCTGGGAAAAAAATGCATCTGGGAAGAAATATGTGACTGTGGGAAAACAATAAATAAAGCCTATTTGGTTCTTCTTTGATTTCCTTTTTTTACTTTTTAGTAACTTGAAAGAGTCATAGCATATCAGGAAGTTTCTGTGTTAAACACAGTTGGCAGCTTAACAAACTACACTTGCTGCAAAGGAGCTAACTAACCCACTATGATTTTGTGAAGCAGCACATCATGGTGCATGGCTTTGCTCTTCCCTGCCAGCTCCAAGAATGGTACTTGATAACTGGTTATAAAATCCCTCCAATATCTCCCCTCAATATAAATTTTCCCCAGAGACAGGGTAGAGTTGAGATGTGAACTACCCCGTGAAATGTGGGTTCCCTAAAACCTCCAAGCAGCCACAGATCACTAGCCTAACCCATTGCTCTGCTTTTTCCCCTGACATTTTTAGTGATTCAGAGACAGGTTATCCTCTCAGTCCCACCTGTCCCCCTCAGGCAAGATTTTCTTTGTCAGCCACTATATCTCTCTGTCTCTCTATGTATACAATTAGCAGTACGGTGCCACTTTGGTGGCCTGTGACTGTCACACTAATTGGCCTCCTTTTAAGAAACTACTGGAAGGAGTTTCCCCAACACAAGAAGGACATGGAGCTACTGGAACGAGTGCAGAGGAGGGCCACGAAGATGATCCGAGGGCTGGAGCACCTCTCCTATGAAGACAGGCTGAGAGAGTTGGGGCTGTTCAGCCTGGAGAAGAGAAGGCTCCGGGGTGATCTTATAGCAGCTTTCCAGTACCTAAAGGGGGCCTACAGGAAAGCTGGAGAGGGACTTTTTACAAGGGCATGTAGTGATAGGACAAGGGGCAATGGATTTAAACTGAAAGAGGGCAGATTTAGGTTAGATATAGGAAAGAAATTCTTTACATTGAGGGTGGTGAGGTACTGGAACAGGTTGCCCAGAGAAGTTGTGAATGCCCCATCCCTGGAGGTGTTCAAGGCCAGGTTGGATGAGGCTTTGGGCAACCTGGTGTAGTGGATGATTTCCCTGCCCATGGCAGGGGGCTTGGAACTAGATGATCTTTGAGGTCCCTTCCAACCCTAACCATTCTGTGATTCTATGATTCTATGGTTCTATGATTAAAATGAGACTATGAAGTAGTTCAAAGGACATTTGCTCCCAGTACTTTCTCCTGCCTCAGGCCAGTAGTGACCCACTGCCTCACAGGGGCCATTTCCCAGCTCCCGGCATATCCCCATACTCCCTCATGTTGGCCATGAGCACAGCTTAGAGCACCTATAGACCTATGAGGAGATTAAGACCACCATACCTCCCACCATGATTCAACAGAATATTTTATATTCCAGCTAGCTAAAATTGTAGCTAAGGAAAACACTTGGGGATGCATTTAAATCCCACTGGTATTTAAGGATTCAGCCAAGTGCTGTCCTGATTCAGAGCTGTGACCTTTTCTATCCTCCTCCAAACATGTTTAGGCCACCAGCTAGGCTGCTCGGACATCGCTCAGACAGGTCCCAGCTCCATACATCCGCGCATGTACAGTCCACAGTGTCTGTTATATTTACAGCCATGCTACTCTTTGTGTTTTCTGTATGTAGATGTGTTTAAAGCAAAACCAAATCCTTTCCCAAAGCGCCTTCCCTCCTGCAAATCAAGCAGCGTCACTAGAAATGTTTTCCTTAGCTTCAGATGCTACTTGTAAATTCACTCCAGGACTGAGAAAGCTACTTTGTCTTGAGGGAGGAGGGACAAGCACAAGGCAATCTTACATATTGACATAGTAGCAGATATGATTAATGTGACCTTTTCACTGTATCCCAATAAATATTATTTTCCTGCTTTTTTCCTGCATTGCAGCATGTGGTAACGGAGAAGTCTGATTAGAGATTACCCATTAGGAAAGCCAATGTCCTCATTAGATCTCTATCTTAGCAGCAGCAGCCATGTATCCTCATTGTTCATAAAAGAGAAATACGATATTGACAGATGCTGTTGAATGGCTTTTATGTGTTTAATTCCAGAAATGGCCTTGTTTTAGTGTCAGGTGATCTCTTCCATACAGCTACTCACCATCAGTCTGTGGGCTTAGTAAG